GGGGGGGAGGGGAATGGCAGGTTAAAGGAGCATTTGTACCTCTGACTTTCACACGGCAAGGGGGAGACACTGTGGCAAAGGACACGGCCCAATGTACTCTGGGGTGGGTCTTAATTCATGGTCACATACTTTCGAATCATGGTTGTGGTGTTTTCCCAAATGAATGCTGGGTTCCTTTCTCCTTTTTATTGAACGTTTTCTTTGCAATACACAGACTCAGTGCTTGTGAGAGGGAAAATATCGCCTCTTAGTGTCACCCTGGGGTGATGCTTAATTTAGGGTGACCAGACAGCAAATGTGAAAAATCGGGACGGGGGTGGGAGGGTAATAGGAGCCTATATAAGAAAAAGACCCAAAAATCGGGACTGTCCCTATAAAATCAGGACATCTGTCACCCTAGCTTAATTTTCCCAGTTTATTGGGTTGGGACTGGAGCAGGTTCTGTTTTGTATTGTTAAGAGGAACCCCTAAAAGGGGTGCCGTTGGACACTCAGCCATCCTGCACCCTCAGTTACGTTGTGCAGCCCCAGGGAACTCATGGCTCGCGCCCAGGACAGAATGTGGACTTCTCCACACTGGAATCTCTTGCTGAAAAGGGTGGGCTCTGCTGGTCACATGGCGAGTTAGGCAGGAGGTAGAAATAAAGGGCATGTCTGTGCTGCAAGAAAAGCCCAACAGCAGCGTAAGTCTCAGAGCCAGGGGATACAGACTCCGCATCAGGCTACAGTGGTAAATATAACTGTAGATGTTCCCACGCAGGCTGGAGCTCGGGGTCTGAGACCCACTCCTTTTGCCCGGTTTCAGAGCCCAGGTGCCAGCCCAAGCAGAAACGGCTACACTGCTATTTTTAGCACCATAGCGCAAGCCCCGTGAACCTGAGTCTGGAGACCTGGCTTCTGAGGCTCGCTGCCATGGGTGGTTTTTTGCAGTGTAGATGTGTCCAAAGTTATCAGTGGGTCTTTTTCGGGGGGCCTATCTGCTAATAATGCCCCCTTGCTCAGACACCCAGGGCCTGGGGGTCCTTTATTCTTCACGAACTATTTAGCAGACCTGCTCCACTCACATAAATGAAACTGAATCCTGCCATATGAGGACTGGTTCAAATGAAAGGACAATATGGACACTCCTCCCCCAATCCCCATCTGTCCCCTCTAGCAAGGGCCAGTGGCTGGAAGGTGAAGACGACAAACTTCAAAATGGAAATAAGACGCAAATATCTAACAGTCAGGGTGTCTGATCAACGTCACAGATTACCTAGGGACATGCTTTGATTTAGTTGGGTTGGTCCTGCTTTGAGCAGGGGGTTGGACTAGATGACCTCCTGAGGTCCCTTCCAACCCTGAGATTCTGTGATTCTATGCTAAATTCTTCATCACTTGGCCCCTTTAAGTCAAGACAGGATGTCTTCTTCTAAAAGATACGCTCTGATCCAACCCTGGGTTATTTGCCGGATGTGGGAATCACTGGGTGAGGTTCTCTGGTGTGTGCTATGGAGCAGGTCAGACTGGATGATCTAATGGTCCCTCCTGGCCTTAGAATGTGAGAGTCTATCTTATGTGATGAGATGATGGGTTTAGGGGGGACTAGGGGCATACCTAGACCTAGAGAAAACCTCTCCCTACCAAGGGGGCAATCTCCATCTCTCCTACGCTCTATGGCTGCTGGTGGGGAGTGGGGGGGGGGGGGGGGGGGGGGGGGAGAATAGTGTGGGTCAGACACATTTTTCTTTGGCTCTCGCGACCAGCCACAGCAGTGAAGCACCGTACAGGAGAGGGAAGAAGCTGTTGTAGGAGGCGCCCAGCAGCCAGAGCGCAGAGAAGCTCCTCATCTCCACCGCAGCCGTGATGTACGCAACAATCAGCTGGGTCTGGACCCAGGTCAGGGCCTGATACAGCACCTTGGTGTGCCGGGACTTTGCAAGTGAACGGAGAAAAGGGTGAATCCGGTAATCGGCCTCCACCATCGCTGCCCAGCACAAGAAGCCAAACACTTGCCCTGGGTGGAGCCCATGCCACCAGGCCGAGAAGGCAAAGGTGGCCAAGAGGGGCTGGGCCGGGCTGCACTGGAAGACGAGTCTCCTCAGCCACCGGGAAGTGCTCTTGTTCCAGGTCCTGGTGAAGAGGGCTATTCTGTTGGTGGTCTCCAAGGTCCATATGTCTGCATCAGAGAGGTCGCCGCAGGCAGCCTCTGCACCGGGGGCGTGGCCACGCTCCAGCCCAAAGCCCGCTGTGCTGAGGAGAGCCTCGTCGAGCACCCACTGGGAGTAATAAGCCAGTTTGAAGAGCAGGGCGGAATGCCACATGACATACACGCAGCCAAAGCCGGTGCAGTCCGTCATGCGGGCCAGCGGGGCCACGCAGATCCTCACAGCCGTTCTCAGCAGGTGCAGAGCCAGGGCACGAAGGCATTTCTGGCCTGCAGCCCTCCAGGAAGCTGTGGGGCGTGAAGCGCATGAGCCCTGGATCTGGTCCTGAAATCTCCGAAAGGAGCATAGCGGGCCTCCCAGCAAGGCAGGGAAAAAGAGCAGATAGCTGCATAGAGGCAGCGCCCGCAGCAGTGGCTCCCTCCCATCCCCCCACTCAGCTGCCATAGTCACCTTCCCTTCGTGGATATCCAGAGCCAGCGATGTGACCTTCTGCGTCTGCAGCATGAGCGACGAGAGGGCGATTGTCAACCTGCAAGGGGGGGAGAGAGCAAGCGGAGTGGCGGTGAACGGGGTCCCGTAGTGCACACCAGGGCTGGTGTTGCCCTGAATGGACACGAAACGGTGCTGCGTGCGAGGTCACGCTGGGCGGAGGGCGCCCGAGAGCGACATGGCCTCCTCCAGGCGACATGACCTTGGGAAAGTGCCGGAACATGGTTCCGTTCCAGCTCCGCTACTACCAGGGGGCAGCTGCAGCATCAGCCCCTTCTGTGCTGGCGTGGATTGAGGCGCATACTGGCTGCATGGGGCTGGACCCGGCCTGTATAAACATCAGGTCATAGCGGGCGGAGCTCTGCCTCGGCCTCCCTCTCTGTGCTCCAAACACGACTTAATACGCAGCCACTAACCACTGCCCTGCCCCTCCCATTTTCCTGCCTTACGCAGCTGTACACATGGCTGAGCCAACCCTGCTACATGTCTGCAGGGCCAGTGCTTCCACTAGGCAACCCTAGGTGGTCGCCTAGGGCGGCAGGATTTGGGGGGTGGCATTTTGCCGCCCTCGGCGGAAATTCGGCGGCGGGGGGTCCTTCCGCTCCGGGTCTTTGGCGGAAATTCGGCGGCGGGTCCTTCACTCGCTCCGGGACCCGCCGCCGAAGTGCCCCGAAGACGCGGAGCGGAAGGACCCCCCACCGCCGAATGCTCAGAGGAGGAGCGCTGCCGCCTCGGGCGGCAAAAACCCTGGCGCCGCTCCTGCCTGTCTGCAAAAACCAATGGACTCCGCGAGCCAGGTGGCACCAACCTCAATACCCACGCCACACACCCGGACCTTGAAGCCTCCGCATGCTTAGTGACTGCCTGGTTATTTGCGGTGGGCCTGCTCTGCTTCCGTCTGTTCCCCTGAACGTGCCTGGCACCGTCCCTGCATCTTGCCAGGAGGAGCCGGCCGGACCCAGTGCGCAGTCAGAGCGTGGGATGCCCAAGTGGGACATCTGAGTCAGGACAGGGCTGGGAGCAGACTGGCATCTTGATGGATGAGAAGTGATTCCAGTGCTGCCCTGGGGGGATGCTGAGCGCCCGGCCTGGCGAGCGAATGCTGGAAAGGTCATGAACATTTCACATCCGGTATATGGAAAAGTTGGGGCCACCTGATTTTAGCCCTTAATGCCTCTGGAAGGTGCTGAGCATGAGACGGAAAAGGAAGAACCAGGCTGTTAAACGGTGGGGGAAATCTTCTCCCTAGAATGCTGAAGACAAGCTTTGTGAAATACCGGGAGAGCTTGCTATAGCATTTCAGGTGAGAAGAGAGGGCATGGTGTTAAGGGACACGGACTGTCCTCAGGGGAGTATGACTGCCCCTAGGGACCACGCAGATTCTGCTCTCAGTTATGCCCAGAAAAATCTGGACAAGTCTTGATGCAAAATCTGGCCCAGGCTGCGTCATTTGAGGAAACAGGTGGGCTTGTGCACTGCTGCCTGATACCTGATGCACGGGGCTCCTTGCAGATAATGTTCTCTGTAGTGCAGGCCCAGGTGGCAGAGAGTCTGCCAGGACATCTGGACCACGAATGCCCACGTGTGGACCTGCAGTGGGCCGACTGAGTGGAAAATGGCCACGGAGCAGAAGGTGGGGATGAAGAGCAGCAGGGCGTACCATCCCATGGCAGCACACGCGAGAAGGCAGCCTCCCACCAGGAGCAAGACATACCTAGAAGAAATCAGAAATGTTTGCAAAGGCTTTCTGAGGCCGCGGAAGTTCAGTGGGTTTGGCGTTGCCCAGCACTAAGACTGCCTGTGGGTGAGGTGTGGCTCTCGATTCTCTCCTGGGCTGGCTTTGCCGTCCCTTGTAGCTTCTTGCCTTTGTACGGATTGCCCCTGCCTCCTCCCTCGTCAGTGCTGCTTCAGTAGTCTAACAAAGGGTCCCTGAGGAGCAGACAGCTCATGCTTCATTTCCAGACTCATCCCTCCACCAACCCCAAAGCAGACCTGGCCAAGTGCTGAACTTTCTCCAGGCCCTCTCCCCTGCTTCCACCCAAGCCCTGCTGGGTTCCCTCCTTGGAGGCTCTTCAATGCCAGCAATAGCTGGTGACTCTCAGGGTTAAGTACATTTTGTCTCTAAATCGTCACAAACTCACCAGCGTAGCCCTGCTCTTTAGCCAGCCCTGCCACAACATCGTCCCTGGGCCAACGGAGGCTTAGTTCCCCACACCAGTGCGGCTGTGTTTGACATCACCCCTCTTGGCCACACACTCTTCTCTGAACCCGACAACGTCTCCTGGGCAGCAGGCGAGACATTCCCCACACTGCTGTGCTCCGCTCTTCCTGGCAGAGCTTGGCACTCACCCAGGGGCAGAGGGAACCCATCAGGGCACTTGAAGCTGTGCCTCCCTGGGTAGTTTCCTAACCCTAACAGAGCACCATGCTGCTGATCGTCACAAGCGCGAAGGCGCTGAGCATTGCCAGCTCTCTGATCTCCAGGGACTCACCTACCACCAGCATCGTCTTACGCTTTTCTCTGCGTTAGCTGCCCATCTTTTCCTGTTCCTCCACCCTTTAGAGGCCGGGTACCTGTGCAGCCTAGATACGCATCTAACCTGATCGCTGCTGTGACTGGCAGGGTGGAGGATGCCACATTCTAACCTCCCAATGAGACAGGTGCCACTTGTGAGTTTGCCCTGCTAGCCAGCCAGGCAGATTCCAGAGGACTGTAGTCCATGGTAGATACACAGAAAGGGCTCCGGTGAAGTCCTCGCTCTGATTTGAACTTTGTATGTGTTCTCCAGGCTGGCAAATCCTCAGTGGAGTCTTTGGCCCAAACTGTCCAACCAGGGCATCCAACCCAAAGTGACTTGATTTCTAAAAGTACCGGTGACCTGCAGTGCCTTCACATGCTGGTGGGAGAGGGGGTGCTTGGCATCTCTGAAAATGTAGGCTTGTGCATTGAATCCAGCGGCTGGCTTTCTGTTTGGTTCATTGTACAGTAATTCCTCACTTAAAGTCGTCCCGGTTAACGTTGTTACGTTGCTGATCAATTAGGGAACATGCTCGTTTAAAGTTGTGCCATGCTCCCTTCTAACGTCGTTTGGCATCTGCCTGCTTTGTCCACGGCTTGCAGGAAGAGCAGCCCGTTACAACTAGCTGGTGGGGGCTTAGAACCAGGGTGGACCGGCAGCCCCCCTATCAGCTCCCCGCTCCCCTGTGCTGCAGCCACCCAGCAGGCTACCAATTGCCGGCAGTTCAGCTGTCCCTTCCCCCACTGCCATGTGCTGCCCTCTGCCTTGGAGCTGCTCCCCGAGACTCCTGCTTGCTGTGCAGGAGGGGAAGGGGGTGGCTAATGTTAAGGTGTCTCCCTCCCCCCTGCTCCTGCACCCCGCTTACCCCTTCTCCATATAGAGCAGGGAGGGGACACGGAGGGAGAGAGACAGCGAGAGCTTGGGGCAGCAGCTGCTGTCTCAACTTCCTGATCCACTTAAAAAGACAATGCACTTAAGAGTGGGTCAGCTTACTTAAAGGGGCAGTGTGCATCACTGGTGTGTGTCTGTCTCTGTCTGCTATGCTGTCTCCCCTCTGTGTTTGTGCTGCCTTGTGTGAGAGGCTATATTAACAACAATGTGTTAACCGTTGAGGGCTCAGCCGAGTGCTAGTTCATCATTTAGCAGCAAGGTATTCCCTGGGAAATATCCCTCCCTCTTCCACCCTCTGACTTCACCACCTCAACCAAGCTTCACAATCGTCATAGCTGTGAACAGTATTAAATTGTTTGTTTAAAACATATACTGTGTGTATATCTATATAATATATAGTTTTTTGTCTGGTGAAAAACATTTCCCTGGAACCTAACCCCCCCCCTACTTACATTAATTCTTATGGGGAAATTGGACTCGTTTAACATCGTTTTGCTTAAAGTCACATTTTTCAGGAACAACGTTAAGCGAGGAGTTACTGTATCACTTGACTGACCTGCAAGTCCCATTAACTCCAGAAGACCCGAGTGAACTTGGTGCGTTGATTTCCTCTCCCCACTCTTTCCTCAGATTATAACCAGTGACTGCTGCCTTCATGCCCAACTGCAGAGGTGAGGTTTTATAAATCACCTAACAGGAACACTAGTCCCTCTGCACGTCAGGGAGACTTGTGCTTCTGAGTCACTTAGGTGCCTTTGAAAATCCCACCTGAGGGTCACAAGTTCTTCACTGATTCCTTGGAACATGACCTGTGATTCGGATTCATATAATCTCTGCATCTTCAAGCCGGATCTGCTGTAGCTCGCGGGTCTTTAGGCATTTAATGATACTTTGTGATTCTCCAAGGCTGTTCATCTACGTATCTCAAAATACCTGACAAACATTAATTACATGGGGTGAAACCGAGGCACACAGAGGTTGTGATAAGGTCACAGTGTGACTCAGTGGTAATCATGAGTAGATACAGAGAGTTTTGATTCCCCTTCCCTAGGAAAGAGGTTAGCAAAATTGCCTCACCTGTGAAACCTGCACTTAGACTAGAATTCACCACCAAAGCTCATGAGCATGGAATTAAAGCAAACATGAAAGCATACCTGGCATTTAGCGAGAGAGACCCAGAGGTGCAGAGATAGTGAAAGGAAACGGCAAATGGAAACGCAACCAGCTGGTAGAAAGCTATAGGGTGAAGAGCAAGCGGACTTGCCCAATCCATTGAGAGCCTGCTTTTCAAGAGAGTTAATTCTGCAATGGTCTTCAGTTCCTGGGGCACCTGGATGAAGAACTGAAACTCCCGTCTTTCCCCCTTCTGTTTATATGGGGCAGGAAGGCGGGGTTAAAGCCAAACCCCAGATAAGCAGTGTAAATGTGTCTGTCAGAGAGCAAAGCCAGCGTGCTAAGGAAACAAGGTTATCTGAACTGGGGAGCCTGGCACACCGCGATACATGCAAGAAGAAAAGGAAAATATTCTCTGTTTTCGTAAATGCTATTTCTGCTAAGTGCCTTCGTCCCAGGGCTTGAGCTCACATGGAAAACATGCTGCTTCATATTTGGGCTGCTAAGTTCCTGAGTAATGTCCTGCTTTTCGATCCCAGGGAGCGTTACACACAGAGATAAGCAAGCGTTCTTTTCCAACAGGCAGCTTAAATACCAAGCTATTGGAACACCTTGACGATGGGCGAAATGACTTCAGCAATTATCCGAGGGCTAAACCAGGGCAGTCGCGTTTGCTTTGTCTCTGGGTTCTCATACCCCTGCCCCTGCAGCTGGATGGCGTCACATTCAAGCCGTTGGAAGGGCATGGAGGAGCCAGTGGAAAGACAGCAAATGAGCTAGACCTGCTGCCAAGGCTGCAGGAGGAGTTCAGAAGCAATACAGAGACACAACAGCTCCTTGCATGCACCCCAAGATGCATCCGGCTCAGGTTCTCCCTTCCCACGATCTCAGGGTCAGTCACAGCAGCCTTGGGTGTGTCTCTGGCCAGTTTACCTTCAATATGGTGTCAGGTGTGTAACTTTAGGCTTTAAAACATTGGCCTAAATGTAGAGCAGAGAGCTCCAAAATGTGCAGGCAAGAGCCACACACCCAGGAGCCATGGTGCAGCCAGTTCTGTAGTTCTGCTCCCCATGAGTGCCGTCCTGAGAGTCCCTCGCTCCAGGGAACGTCTGAGGCCTGGACACGCCTTTAGCCAGCTGGCTTTGTTGCCTGTAACAGAAGGATAGTGGATGTCCTGCTTCATCCGAATCCCTCAGCTCCAAGTGGTGGCGATGACTATGCCTTCGAAGGGGGTGAGGGGACATGCCAGTGGAGCTGGCTGTTCCCAGCTTCCCTCGTCCAGGCCAGGCCTTTATTTCCATGGGGGATTCACAGCACGCAGGGATGGCAGGAAGCTGTTGGCAGCTACAGGTGAGAAATGAGAATATGGAACAGGAGCCTTCCCCTCTGCGAGGTCCCCAAAGGCCATTTCAGGGCAATAAACGTGCTGGTGCTCCCATCCCTGCTGTGGTAACACAACTGCGGGACTGGGAATTTCAGGGCAACCGTTAGGCATTTCTGAAAGCTGGACCCTGCACCAACACTCACCCCAGGTGCACATATACATAGGGTGACCAGACGTCCCAGTATTAGGGGCCTTGTCTTATATAGGCACCTATACCCCCTACCCTGAAAACAGTGTCCCGATTTTTCACCCTTGTTCTCTGGTCACCCTACATCTGCAGTAAGTTAAGGGTCAGTTTAGCAGTGGTTACACATTCACTTACAGATCACTTTGTCCCCATGGAGGGGAGGTAACTGGCACTCAGCACTGCCCTGTGCTCCTCTCACAGCAGGACAGTTTATTACCCCTCTCAAAGGCTGGCAAACCAGGGCATGCAGAGGAAAGACCCCCAAAGATAAAAGTGAGCGTTCCAAGAGCAAACAAAACACAGACTTCAGCAAACCAGGCAACGTACAGTTAAGGTGTCATAGCCGCGTGCCCCCTTGGAGCACTACACAGTCCCTCAGGCTGATCACAGTGCATTTCCCCTGCTGTCCAGCCGCAGCAACACGCACTCCCTGGATCAGCGGTGCTGCACAGGGGCCCAGCAGTGGTCCATTGCAGGAGATGAACCAGAAGGGTGATTGGCATAGACAATGGCAGGTGGTGTTAGGGAAGGGTGATGTTATATTCCCAGGGTTAGCTCCACAACAGGATTTAGACACCTAACTGCCTGATCTGCTATTGATTATGCCCAATAGTGCGGGGATTAAGGCATTTGCCTGGGATGTGGCCAGGCATCTGATGTGCATAGGTTGGGATGACACCTTGGTGCCTGAGGAACAGATTGGGGAAGTGGGACACCTGCAGACAGTGATCCAGGATGGTGGGATAGACCCATAAGCCTGGACCAAGAAAATAGACTTGGGAATGCCTTCAGCATCTGCAGAGTAGTACAGTTGATTAAGAAACATGAAAAAGCTTTCTCACAACATCCTGTGGATTTCAGGTGTGCCACCCAGATACTGGACACCACACCCACCACAGTACATCCTCCAGTTAGCAATTGCTCCTGCTCTAGGAAAGGATAAAAGAGGTGTTGGAAGCTAATGTAACAAAAGAGGGTCACGGTCTATGGGCTGTGCCCACTGTGCTGGTTAAGACAAAAGACAGGAAACTGTCTTTGTGTAGATTCCTGAAAAGTGAACCAAGTCACCCATAAAATGCCTATCTCTTACCTAGAACTGATGATTCCTTACTGGCATTAATGTCAGCAAGTTTCTTCCCTACTATCGATGTAGCAAGTGTACTGGCAAATTCCCATGGTGCCAGAAGACCAAGAAAAAACTGCCTTTGTAACACCCGTGGTACTTTATGAATTTACAAAAATGTCATTGGGTTATGTAATGCTCCAGGGACATTTCAGAGATTGGTAGAGCGTTGCCTGGGCTCTGAGAACTTTGATACTGTTTTATTGTATCTAGACGACATCACTATATATTCAAAATCCTTTGAGAAACATTTGCAATACTTGCATGTGGTATTTGACCTATCTGGGACATACGGTGGCTACTGATCCAGAGAAACTGAAAGTGGTAGAGTGGCCAATACCTGCTGCTACAGTACAAGACGTTCTTGGGATTTGTCAGTTACCTCCAGTGTTTCTCTTAGCAGTTCATTCAATGGCAGAGCAACTTTAGCAAAGTGCTTAAGAAATCAACAGTGATAAGAAAATTTCTAAAGCTGCCCCGGTAAAATGGAGTGCATAGGGCAGCATTTGAAGAACTGAAATCTCCCCTAGTGCAACCACCTATCCTGGTATATCCAGATTATGAACTACCCTTTGGAGTGTACATTGATGCCAGCAACAAAGGATTGGGAGCTATTCTTGCCCAGGAGCAAGATGGCAGGGAGTGAGTTACTGCTTATGCAAGTCAGGGCTTAAAGAGATCTGAGAAAAAAAAAAAAGACGGGAAATACAATTTGTTCCAATTGGAATTCCTAGCGTTCGTCTGGGCAGTAACAGAAAAGTTTCAGCATTATCTTACGCAGCCTCATTTGCAGTCTTTACAGATAACACCCCATTGACATATTTGCAAACC